TGTGCATCCCTGCCTCTGCAGATATCATTTCAAGGAAACTCACTGCTAGGGAGGCAGAGTTCTGCCACTGGATGTCTGAGGACTCTCTCCTTTCCCTGGGGGTTGTGTATGCTGCTAAGCCCGGTGCCAATCTTAGAGTGGAAATACTGACTTACTCAGTTTTCGGATTTTTCCAGTAGATGGCAGGATTGGCAAATTCTTGCTTTTCTAACTCTGCAGTAGTTCGTTCATTGTTGGCTGATGAATTGATATTTCTGGCAGAGAATTTAAAAAAGGAAAGAAATTTATTACTAAAATTTTACTGTATTACACTGTGCCAGGTTCAGTTTTGCAGAAGATATTGTGCCCAGGAGTATAAGTCATTTTCAGATGAACAGCTCCAGGTTTGCTGAATGTTCCTCTTTAACTCCTCGAGTCCCTTACCATTCACACCTGCCTAACTCAACTAAAGCAATACCATATTTAAGATGAATAATATTTCGTACTTTATTACACCTATATTACAAATGCTAGAAAGGATGTGTGATGTTATTACCTACTATGTGGTTTAACAATATCTGGGAACTTCACATCGTCATTTTGCTTTAGGATTTCCTGAACATTTTTTCCGTTGATTTGGCAGTTCCTAAAAATGAAGTGATTTAGGGTTTCCAATTCGGTTCTCTAAAAGGACTCTGTGTCTGCTCCCTGAGATACCTAGGCATCCAAGTCATGTAACTGTAGTTTAATAAATCACTACACATCAACTAAACCATAGCAACCATCCATGATTCTATTCTTAGCATGCAACAAATATAAGGTAATGTGAGTTAATGTGATTCTTTTTCACTGCTTTCTTTTCATTGAAATAAGCTTCTTATCTTTTTACTTGCCATGCTCAGAATGCATAATTTTATAAATATTGTGAGTCAGCTCAAGTATTTTATTTTTAAGCTGCAGTAGTTCATATGTTTGAACTATTTTTTTTCCATTCAAATGAAATTAAAATTATTCTCAGAAAATGTTAAATATCCATTTTAGAGGGGATTTAGATTCAGATCCATTGAAAAACCCTAGACACTACAGGTGAGGCAGGGTTTGAGCTCTAGGGATCTCACTTTCAAGTGGCTTCCTGGACCCATGGACAACATGCCAAAACTTGCCTTAGGCAGATCTGGGACAACTGGGCACCTGAGGAAGGTGATATTAACCCCCCCCCCCCCCACTTAGACTGAGTAAAATGATGCTGAAAATCAGGAAATTAACATTATTGTGCTTTGAGATGGACCTTAACCTCCTATCCTCTGCCTGTGGGGCTGCAACAAGACATTTTTTCTGTGGGACACAAACTATTCTCCTGCAAGTCAAGGAAATATATAAGGAATCTTGTAACTGTTTTTTTTAAATGCCTCAAAGTGCTGCTTCCACATATAAGGTTGACAATTAAGAGTGTTAATCTAAAAAATGAGTCCCCCAGGTTGGCACAACCATGTTTTACATATCCCAGAGATTTCTCTAACCTCTAGGCTAGAGGGATGGTTTGTATGGAGATAATTTGCATCCTTCATACTGGAGCTCTGAAATGGCATTGAATAGGTTGAATCATAAAGGGACAAAGAGCATAATTTTGCTGTGCAGTGGTTTGTATGCTTAGATGCAACTTGCTCCTAACCTGTTCTTAGATGTCAGAACTCTCCTCCTTCATCTGAGTGTTAGATGCTGTTCCAGCGATGAGAAAAGAGAATGAATTTTCTAGTAATGCTCTAAATTTAATGGAAAGTAATTATGACAGCATGGGGTGGGGGTAAAGATAGCCCACACAATGCTATGCCTGAAGGACTGAGCATCTAGAATAGTCAACAAAGCCAAGCAAAACCATAGTTGACCTGCTTTAGTGTGAGGATAGTCTTCTTTAAGCAAGAGGTTGGCCTGCAGATCTCTAGAGGTGCCATTCAGTGAACATTCCTGTAAGGCCTGCAAACAGGCACTTCTGGATCACAGTTTGGATTTGGATGGACATACAAGGTGTATAAGTTCTGTCTCTTTGTCTGTTTCCTAAGCTGTAACATTATTCAGGTTGTTTTCATAATGTATAGCTCCCATTTTTATTCTGAATCTGTCTGAATTTTGCTTGAGTTGCATTTCAGAAATCTCAAAGCACTTTCTTCTGACAATTTCAGTAAATTTTCTGCTTTTTCTAGAGATAAGTCTGTCGGCTTTGTATGTCTCTGTTTTTTAATGTAGTACCTGAAGTTTCACCCAGTGGCTAAGTTGCTTTTTTTTTGAGGGGGGAGGCCATTTGTTGGGCGTATATGTCTCAGTCAGGCATGGGGCAGCAGCTAGAGAAATGTACACAGTGTTGCTGCAGTGTTTCCCTTGCTGCAGCAACCCAAGGGCCACAGTCAACTGTCCCATGGACTGATCAACTCCATCAAACACACAGGGTAGAGAAGCCGGAGAGATGATGGGTGTCATGGTATGAATGCTTAATTTTTCACCTGAAAAATAGTGGAAAATCAGGTGGATTAAAATGGAAAGTGAAAAATTTGAAGATGTGCAACCCCTTTTATGTTAAAAACCCCTCAGATGCAGTTCTCCCGTCATCTGAGCCTTGGACATGAGGAGAACAGATGTTCTGTGTAAAGACAGGAAAGATTCAAGCTGCTTAAAAGCTAACCATTTTACTAGCTGGTAACAAAATCAAATTTGGCCTAACTTGCAAATTCATAGATAAATTGTTCAAGTTGTTACCACAGAATGTTAAAACCTTTGAAATGTCTGATGATGTTATTCTCATACTGTTATCATGTAACACTGCAAAAAATTGGCAGGGACGAGAAGTGGTTAGGCAGAAAATTCTGCAAAATATGTAAACATTGCCCTTGTTTCACATAGCATTAATATAGGGAGTAAATTTTGCGATCTGGGACAATAATTGTTAAAAAAATGTGATGTTCAAAGTCATCAGAGAACATGAAGATTTATCTGAAAATATCTCCAAGGGAATCTAAAGGGGCAGGAATATTTTGAAGAAGGAACTGGAGAGCCAAGGAGTCTGAGATCGAACGTACTGTGGAGCTTGCTGGAATAGAACAAATGAGCTTCAGTAAAAGGGAATGAGTTAGGTTCTGAAAGATCTGACTGAGTTAAAAAGGAATGCATTCCTTCTGAGAGAAGGAAAAAAAAGATCTGAATTTTTTTATAAGAGTTGAATAACTATCTAACATTTGCTTGATTCAAGGGGAATACATGAACAGTTCAACACTATTGAAATTAAATGTTCAGAGAGAGAAGTCACTTGTATAGCCAAGGATCTGAGATACTCCTTAATTGAAAGCCATTGTGGGAGAAGACTATATGAGGAAGAACAAAACACTGGGCTTGAATTCTGAAGTGGAGCACACATGGAGAGCTGAGCCTGACATGCGTTTTCAGACTTTTTGCAGACTTGACGGGAACCCATTAAGAGACATAAACATATATACAGTGAGTTGCAGTTGGCACCACAAGATTTCAAACCTTACTGACTGAGGCAGAAATGCTCACTGTTCAACTCTTCTATTAACACAGACTCATTTTAACACTTAACAATCCAGCCGTTTTTTTAAATTGAGAAAAGAGACATGTTTGGCCCTGAATCAAGTACCTTTTATATGTGTGTATCCTTCTGAAGCCTCAAAAGGATTACCAGCTTCCTTTCTCTGTTTTTTTTTAGTTATAAATTGTTAGTATAAATTACATTTTGAGCCTTCCCAAGGCTTGATTTTCTCTGGTAATTTTACTAAGGTGTGTCAAACCATAACAATTGACATAAATCATGCACTAGAAGGTGATCAATAGATTTTGTTCAGACACATAAAAATCTCAAGAAAGACTATGGAATATATTTGTATCCTTTGTATGCTGAGATTGATGATTTATTATTTCTAATCCTGAAGATTGTATTTATATCTATTCGCATTCAGGAGTTTGTCTGAATGGTTTTAGTGCATACTTACTCTGTCAACAACAGTCTTAGATTTCTGACAAGCAGCCCACTAAGTTTTAGATCTGAGATCTTTTGAACACACCTGCTAACAGAATTCCACCTTAAAAGGTTTTATTTACACCACATTATATCAAATACAATTTATATCAGGTTTTGCTTTTGTGACTGGTTATTCTGCTGGGTGAAGATACCAATATCATTCCAAAGAAAGACACTGTTGATTTCTAGGCAAGTTAGAAAAAAGAGCCATTTGTGTCTCAGGACTATGTGACTGAGAAGAGCTACTGTAGTGTGGACTCATTCTGCACAACCACAGGAACTGGTAAGTAAAGTTCCTGTGTCAACTGGGGTCAAGGAAATCCTTGGGAAATAAATATTCTACTATTTTATTCTCTTAATGCCTGTGAAATTGGAAACTTTTGCTTTAAAATGTTATTGCCTCAGGTAGGGGAAAAAGTAAATTTTCATGCACAGTGGGTTGTTAAGCCTGCAGCTCCTGCCTCACAAAAAGCAGAAATAGTGCTTTGACTTCCATATACATTACACTGGAAGAGTACCTGAGTAAAATACATTTAAAGAGCCTAACATAAAATAAGATCAACTTTCTGGAACTGTAGGAAGGAAAGAGTAGTTGACTTCTAAGGATTATTGCAAGAATATTTATCAACGGAGACGGGAAAGTAAAACTATATTCATCTTGGTACCCCCTACAATTAAAGTTCCAAAAGATGAATGTTCTGCATCTGTGATATGCATGCAAGGATCATCCAGTCAGTCTCAGTCAACACATCCATTACTTAGACACAGAGAAACTGTTCATTGAAAAGAACATCTGCTTCCTCACAAGAGATCATGTGGGGCAGTACAGGACTCTGAAGTAAACTTGGCAGCTGAAAGCAACCAGTGCTTTCTGGGAGAGAGAGATACACAAAGGACACCTCCATTTATTGTCCATGAATATGGAAACCTGCACAGTCAGGTTTCTTACACTCTGCTTTCCTTGATGGCTATGAAATATCTATTGCTGCAAATTTAAATTAGAGATTTTGAAATCAGAAGTGACTGATGATGAAACAACCAGAATGATGACATTTTTCTACTGTAGAGGTTGCACCAGCATTTTATGATATCAAAGGTAATATCATTGTGGAATAATATGCTGCAAAAATGTAGCACCATGACATTTTTCAAAAGCAAATCTATTTAGGCTATATATTAAATAGCTTTTAAATTTTTTTTGTTTGCAGTCCCCTGAGCACATTCCAAAGGAGATACAGTCTCATCATATAGCAAAATCAACTGATAACATGTCTTTCTTAGCTATATGTCATGGGGCCCCTAGTGACAGGTTTCCAGGGTCCCATGACCAACAACTCAAAAAGAACTGAGGTACAGTAAGCTACCTTTAATATGATTGCAAAATAACAGAATGATGAAAATTAATTTTCTACACAGTCCTTTCTGTTGTAACAGGAAATAGTGTTTCTGTGTGATATTTGCAAAAACTCTGGTGATCTGCTCTTCTACTAAAACTGCATTTATTCCTATGTAAGTAAGGAAGAGAAAAATAATCAATTTACCTGTTAGCTGATAGATGCTGTGAGGATTTGATAAACTGGAGATAAGCAGTTGCAGTATCTGGTGAACTAACTCTCTCTGTTTTTTCTTGCTGGATTTAAATTGAAAAACAAAATTATGTAGGGCAGGATGTTTTTAGAGTTCTTAATATTGGCCTATAGGTTTCAGCAATAGGAAGGTAAGCAATGACTCATTCAGAAAACACAGACTCTGAATCACACATTATTTTCTCCACTTGGACAAACACTTCTGAACAGAGAGAAAAGTGTTTAGGATTGGTTCCAGTATTTTTAAGCTCAAGTTACAGGTTTTTAATATGTAACAGCATGTGTTCACTGATTTGAGTTTCTTAGGGAGCTCAGATGTATAGGTAGGTCAAGATCCAAGAAATCAGCCCCAATTATTTTTTCCAGTTTTCTAATCTTCTACTGATGAATCATGAGAGGCTGAATCCTAGACCTCTCCTGTTAAGGCATAGAGAAAAATGTGCTCCAGTAGATTCAAGAATATTACTTACAGTGCTTTAAAAAGCCTAAATATTTAGACAGGAAGGTGACTAAAGTATTATACTCTTTGCCACTAATATGGTTAGGGATTTTAACCTGAAAAGTATTTTGCAATGGTAACTTGAAGTTAAGCTAGTTAGATGACACTTTGTGGATAACTATGTTCCTCATGTTAAGTTCCATATTTACTTTGGAGTGTTTTCTTTAAAATACAGTTTTAATTTATACTCAGGAGAATGAACCAAAATATGCGCTAAACATTTATTTGTTTATAACAGCTTTTCCATAAGGAGCAGGTCTTGTCTTCCAGTTGATAATAAATGATATGGGATGGACTGCACTAAGCACTCATTTTCATTAGGCTGATGTACTTACAAAGGCAGTGCTTTCTTGTGAGAGGATATGTCACTATTGTCATTAAAAAAGTGTCAGAAGGGGAGCATAAGAATGCTATATTGTTGTTTCAGTTGAGTATAGCTTTCAGACTGACTGCATTATAAACTCCTAACACACTGCTTAAAATGACATCTCTTTAGTTCATTTTCACACAGGTCATTGAATTAGAGCACTATGTTTCTGTTGGGTTCTTGCATACTGGAGGACCTCAGCTAGAGAGTGAGGAAACACACACTGTGCTGAATGCTGCTGACCCTCTGGGAGCTTCGGAAAACTGAGAGGTTATTGGAGTCTTTAGAAACAAAAGAAGCTAAAAAGCAACTATGTTTGCTGGGATAGACCTGATGAAATAATAGTTTTTCTAGCACTAAAAGAGATTACTTTTCCCAATCTCATCCATTTGTTTTATGTTCTTTCAGTTGTTGGTATTTTGGGCCCATTCTTCCTTATCAATCACGTTGCTTAAGAGAATGTTGAAACAGAAAATAGAGCAGAAGTAAATGCTTTTGCTTTATTTGTGTTAGCTTCACATAAGCATAATTCAGATTACCTTTGTCCAATTTATATTGGCATAAACACAGGTGAACCAGACCCTGAATCCCTCCTTTCTATCTAGTCAATTAACTACTTCTTTAAGAAATGATTGAAGATGTTGCATTTACGTGAAAATGGAAAAAATACAAAGTGAATTCATACCTGTAGATTTTTTGCCTTTTCAGACCACCAGACTTCAAAGTCTTTTCGCAGCTTCATCTTCTCTTTTTCCATAAGAAGCTGCACGTGCTCAATCTCTACCTTCAGCCCTTTGAAGCGACTGGACATTGTTTTATAACTGAGAAGAAGAAAGTGTATTACAGATCCTCCAACACAGGTTTATCCTACCTAGAACAGTTAGAGATTTAAACTATAAAAGAATATATAATAATCAGAGATGCAGAGGACACAGTCAGATGGTAGAAGAAAACATCTTATATTTTATAGAAGCATCACTGGACAGTAAGTGCAAGAAACTTATCTCACAAACCCTTTATTTCACAAAGAAGCTAGTGAAATTCATGTGGGATCAAAATTGATTAACGATCAAAATACAGGCCCAATCACCTATGTCAATTATTTCTTTTGATTTTTTCAGCATGTTACCATTAATAAATAACTCATCTCCAGAGCCTGGATTCAGATAGGAGCTGAGACTGATTCCACTTTCAAGTGGAAGCTTCATTAACCAGGCCTCTTGGCTAACATATAGTTGGAGATTTACCAGGAGTATTAAAGAGACTTACAGATTGCACATAACATAAATGCTAGCAAAATACTTAGAACTAATATCTTTGCATCTATTTTCTTTTATCCTCCTGGCTACAGTGACATTAGAGCAAGGATTGGTTAACCAATGTGTATTCTACATATTATTTACACTTAGTCAATCTTGTATAGCCTAAAGGTTTTTCTTAGGTCAGGAAAGGCAGAACTTTTCTGAATCAACAAAAAAGGCTCAAAATGTATTTGGATTTAAACAATAAGTTTTGAACACTAATCCTCAGGGAGGACATTAAGCTGGTTTTATTCATTTTTAGCCTTTAGCCCAAGCATAAATTTTGCCCACTCACCTACTGTGGCATCTTACAGACAAATCAACAGCATATACACAAATTTAAAAACTATTAGTGAACCACAAAACTGACATTTTTAAAATGTCACAGAAATCCCTGAGGGTAGCTGTGTGTGCAGAATTGTAATTGGAATATACTATCCGTATAATTTATCTTCTGAAGGATAGCAGAAGTCTGAGGCAGAAGTAATACCTTTTTTTTAATTCTTCAATTTGCATTCGAAGTTTCTCTTCTACTGGATCAAATGTATTTAGCTCTTCAGAAAGACTAAAGGCAGCTATAGGAGAAATGATCAGATGTAAGCAATGACCATATGATGTCCAAAGAAGTGACTTGTAATTAGAATATAAACTAATTTTTGAGAGGTAAATAATGAAATGGGCATCATTAACCATTTCTCTCTTTTGGAAGTGCTTCTTCAAATTCCTTATTTAGGCCTTATTTGGTATAGGAGAAACTCGATAACTAGTTGCCTTCTTTTTTTTCTTTTTTTCTTTCAGTAAAGACTGGAATATTAATTTTAGATATGAATAAAAGCATGTTTGACAGTCCATTTTAAATGTTCATCTTTGGCATAGAACCGTATCAAATGCATTCAACGCAAGAGTTCTGGGTACAAAGACAAGACCAGAAGTTGCAAAAAGAAGAGATAACAGTAGCTGTGTTGGTGGTTGAAAATCAAGTAACAGAAAGAAGAGTAAAAGACAAATATTGAAAGAGAAATTAACTTTGGTAAGCAATCAATTCAGACAACAAGTATAAATAAGGAAAATGTCCTGAAACTATATGAGAAAATTTTCAAGGTCAAGGAGGATTGAGAAAATACCTTAACAGTTGTCTAAGTTACCTAAGAAAGCAGCTTAGGATTTCTCTACCCTGTAACAGAGCTAGTTAGCACACAATACATAATATGCTTAAAACAGTAAAGCATATTAAAACAGTCCTTCCATCCTGGGTTATATGTTCAGCTGTGAAAGGAAATGTAAATTTACAACTAGTGTTACAACAGCTTCTACCTCTAGGATGAATGAGAATAGTTTTAGGTTCTCAAGAAGACATGTTTACCCTTTTTAACTCAAGAAAAATCAAAGAAACAAAAGAGATGCTGTAAAATACATACAAGTTTCCATCCTGACTTTTATTTCTGTCGAGAAAATAAATTCTATGTCAGCCTGTCACAAGGCTGAGGAGTGCACCCTCTCGTCAAGGAGAGGAATCCTGTCTGGAACAAGAGGGCAGTAATGACCCCTCTCTGCCTGTCAGCATGCCAGCTGAAACCATTAATCTTTTGTTGTGGCATCCTGCAGCTTAATACAGATGAAGCTGGAAAGCATTTTATTTCATTAGAGTACCGAGGTCAAGCATGTTAATACAGACAGCGAAGGTGGACAAAGCCCATGCACAATTCTCATTTCATACATTGAAAGGTTTTGCTGCATGTGATTACAGAAGAAAGCTAGGGTGAAAACATTTGTGGTGGAGAGGGTACCCTCAAAAGGTTAAAATATAAACTACTTGGAATCTTAAAGTGAACACACAAGACAGAAGGTGCAAACATGATGGCAGAGGAGATGCTGTAACAAGTGGCATTGTAGAAAAGCTATACCTGAACACAACAGATAAACAGAAAGCCATCACAATCATGACAGAATCTTTAAGGAAAGCAGTAAACCTTTCCATGTTTACAGGGGATGAGGATTTTCTTATTTGTCAGATTTCATCCTCAGGAGAAGGCATAATGTGTGAAAGCACAGAGCTACACAGGGAACTTGTTGGGAGACGCTCACTGCAGAGCTTCTGAGGCTTCATGCTGGTTCTGACCTTCAAACATCCAGGCTTGAGAGAAATGTGCTCTTGTGGAACAAACTGAAACGATTTAGAGAGTTACTGCCTCCCAAGTGAGCCATGCGCACAGACCACGTGAACTTCCTTAATATGTTTCCATGAATATTCCAGCCAGGCCTAGTGTGAGCCAACTTCAGCAGTGGTTAAAAGAGACCTGTCTGAGCACACTGAAGTGCATTTGTTCCACCTGTGACAGGGCCTGAGCTCAGGAGGTAGCAGCTCTAGCCCCTTGTAATGAAGTGAAATAATACAGAGCGGAAGACAGTAACATCTTAAAATGTTAAGGCTGTTTCTGAAGTTAGGACTTCCTTATGAAAGCATCACCAAATTCTGCCAGTCATTACAGAATGATGCAAGGCTTCTGCTATAGCTTTCCTTCCTTGATTTATTAGGACATATAATACTTGGAAAAATACTTTTAGTCTCAGTCAAACTTAGGCAGAACTTTGTCACTTAATACAAAACAGCACGAAAAATGTTTTTCTTCTGCTGATTACATGTTGCAGAATAGATTATTTGGTTGCAAGTTACCTTCAGAAATAACAAATTATTTTATATGAGATGAGAACCTTTATGATAAACAGGACTCAGCATCCTCACCCCTGAATACAGCTATGCCCATTATCTCTAGCTGGTGATGAAAGGCAGAACATCCCTGTGGGCAAGGTGAGCAGCACAAAGTTTTGTGAATGGAAAGCAATGAGTATACTGCAAGCTGATGTGGCCCCAGCAGCAAAAAATAGCATTGGATAAATGGCTAAACCCTAGACATCCATCACTGTGCTCTGGTTATGAAAACAGAAGAGATCTGACCACAGTGTCAGGTGAAGCCCAGTGGTGAGCCAAGTCCAGGATTCGCCTACTGGGGCTTTGTAAATTCTCTGGTGTCTTCCCAAGCTGTTGCAGTATATGTTTCAGCTTTTTGTCTTGTCTCCTCATTGCAACAATGTACTTGTGAACTGAATAACATTCTGCTCTAAAGACCAGTCCTTTTTAAATCTGCCTACTGTAATGCATACAAAGAAACACATGGTTCTTTCCTGATGTTCCAAGCAAAAGACATCTATGGTCTGGTGGACTGTATTTCAACACTTTTGTTTCCTGCTGCTTCTGCCTTC